TATTAAATGGAATTGTCTCAGATTCCCATTCTACAGCAATTGATAGAATTTCTGAGCTTTATTTCACAATATGTATACTGAGCTGAGTTTTTGAATGTGGCTTACAGCCAAAACTTTATTGAAGTTTAGCTCCACCAAAATAAATACCATGGCCAGTATTGCTAGTGATGCCATGATATTTTTTTGCAATTTCTTTAGTATATAACACATCAATAGACCAATGACTCTGCCGGTGGCAAGCCTGTCTCCAAGGTCATTTTTCAACAAATGAGCTTCACGATCATGAGCCTTAGTCAATAGGTATTAATTAAGAGCTCTCGACAGGCATTCTCACTAATTACAATCAGTTAAAAATCAGCTATGCAGCAATATTTTTACCATTTATATTAGCAGATATTCTCAGAGAATACTAAGACAAAAACATTGTAGCCAGAACTCAAATACTGATATATAGAAAACAGATTATATTCAAAAAGACATGACTTGGCAACATGTACTATTCAAATAATATTTCAATACATGTTGTTTACTCGTGTAAACGCCTTTCATTATTCTTCATACAATATAGACTGCTACAATTCTTTACTGTTTACTTAGATTTAAATTATCTTAAAATAACTCTTCATTTTACTAAGTTTCCATCCAAAGGATTTATAAATAGTATTCAACACATCAACAATGTTTTATGATAAAATTTCACTATGCAGATTGTGATTTATCTAAAAAGAAAAGGGAGGGTAAACTTAAGGCATTTTCAGACAAAAAAGGCATTTACAGACAAAAAAGGCATTTACATACAAAATAAATAAATCAAACCTGTAATATTAGCTATGTTGGCCTTCAATGTATCTTGCAAGAAACTATAATATATTCATATTCTTACTCAGAAGGGCCTAGTGAGGAACTTCATATAGATGCTATGATCACTATTCCTTAAAATAAATCAAAATCAAATTGATTCAACCATTATCTCAGACAATTAAAATTTGCAGTCACTGTGAACTGATTGTTAATTTTTTTTTTCCCAAGGTCATTTTAAAGGTTATTCTACAGACCAATATTAAATTGTATTAATATGTCAGGTAGCATAGACCAGAGTTTAGTTATGTCTCCATTTCCATGTAAACCCTTTACCTGTCCAAAACAGAATATTAGGCTTAGGGTCTATAGGTCTATGACATTTTTTTGGGAGTAGGCGAAGATATCAAAGCTTTCATACACTAGATTACCTTAGGCCGATCCACATCTATATGGCCTCTGCTGTAAAAGATATCATCTGAAGCCTTATCTTAAATAAATTTTACGGATGATCGTTGGTCATATATTTCGAATCATTCGAATGTCAAATATTCATGGACGAAGGAGAAGTTAACTTCAATGTAGAGACTAAAAATAGAATGTCACATGATCAAATTGTATGAAAAATGGCTGCCAAACAAATTAACTAAAATTATCACCGATTGTATTTTAAGCTTAGGTGGACATAGATCTACTATAATTTGTTAGTTTGACTTTGTTTGTATTATTGTATACTAAAAGTTGGAACAATATTGAACTTGGAATACAAGCTACTGAAAGTATGAAATATGATATGATAAGCATGATATTTAATTTTGACCAAATTCGGTGTTGAATCCTTATTTCATATTCACGAATATAGGTTACACCACTGTACTAACCTACATGGGTAGCCTACCTTGTCAAGCACAATAATTTAGGCAGACGGAAACTGGACTAGGTTTTAATATATTTCTTGCCAAGGTATCTTTACACAATGATGTAAACCTAAAGTGAAATTGCTTTGTTATTTGGGCATTAATCCCCTGTCATTCGAATAGCCTACTTTGGAATACCTGACTTTAGAGTTGAGATGTCAATTTTTTTAAGTTGTGACTAATACTTACCCAATTGCACACCTCTGTGACTTGTATGCCTACGGCATACAGTTGTATCAAAACTGAAATTTTGCTTTTTGACTATCATTGCTCTACTAATGTTATATATTGGGGCTTAAACAAATGTATCTAAATGTGTAACCAATTGTGACAATATGCTTTGTAGGCATAGAAGTTAATATGTCTGAATCAGACACTGAACCAGTGAAAGCAGAAGATGAAGCTGATGTGGGAAAAACAACACCGTTTTCTCAGATTGGTTGTTTCTGTTGTTTACAAACAACTTATGATGGCAGAAGATTAAAACGTATCAATGGAAAGAGTTGTATGGAACAGAAATTACGACCCAAGTTAGAACAAGTTTATCAGATAGGTGGTAATGAGTTTGATATAAGGGTTGAGAATCTATTGAAGATGAATGCAGGAATATGTCGTAAATGTGGTCGTAGATTGGAAACTGCATGTGAGTTCATTGACATGATGATACCTTCAACTGAAGCTTTCTTAAAGCAGAATATTCAACTTCCAGAGCCAATAACTAAACCTATAGTCAATGATGCCAAACTAAAGGTTTCATTACTTGGATCTAAAATAAATCAAAAAGAATCGGCTTCAAGGTTCTCAACTGTTTTGATCAAGATGGCTTCAGAATTATTTGATAAAAAACTTTACAGGTTAGTTGTAGGCCTACACTTTGTATTTTATTTAATATTTATTTTATCTCCTCAAAAAATTTCAAATTTTTTTTGCCATTTTAGATGACTTTTCAGAATAATTTCTTTGATATTTTCATTGATTAGTATTTCAAACTGTTTTTCAACCCAATCAAATGTTTGATACATGTAGAAAGTATGATTAGATTGTTTCCCTCTTTTTTTTTTGCTTAGCATATTAATGTTATACTGGTCGTAGTTTTACATGTTCCAGTCAATATGTATACTTGTTTTCATATGAACAGTAAATTTATTTCAGTGATTTAACAGTTTTATTAGAGAATGGAAAGAATCTGTATGCACATAAATTTATCCTGGCCAGTAGATGTAAATATTGGGGAATATCTGATTTTGATAATACTGATCTACTCGATCTTTCTGGTAATTATCTTAATCTAGTATAACACAACTCTAAAAATCTGAGTAATGTTCATGTCCATGGTTGATAAGATCCCCTTTCATTAACTCCCTGAAACAATCGCTTTGCATTTCTGAATTATTTGTTTAACTTGTAAATCTCTCCAGAAGACGGTAATTTTCTATCAAATTGATGTATTCCAATGCTGTAATTCACAGTCCTTACTTGTGACCTAGGCCAGTGCTTCTATAAGAGAGTTTCTCTTATTAAACCTTATACAACCATATTACAATAAAATTCAAATGATGCTGCTATATATTAGCTCTTAAATTTGCAACAGTTATCCATTAAAACCAACCGGCTCTTAGCCAAGGAACTTTATCTGACTGATGAACCTTTCACAGTTAAGCTCACTCCCTGAAAGGAACAAGCCTGATTTTAGACTTACATAATAGGTACCAGCAACTTTTTTAATTTGATCACACCCATATAACAAGATATATGACTGATATTTAAGTCATACTTATTTGCAAGACTCAGCTTGAATAATAATCATAAAACTGACAAATAACTGGTTATTTTCATTACAGAGAAGAATTTTGACCAAGTGTATGCCCTGTTTCGTTGGGTTTATCTAGATGAATTGTCTCCCTTCTTTAGTTCAGAATTTTTAAAAGATCTATACTTATTATCCAAAGAATTCAAAATCACTCCACTAATGAAAAGGTAATTTGAAATTTATATAGTATTGAGCAATCAAGATCTTAGAAATTATTTTAGTTCACAGACTTATAAGTGTGTTATATCAAGTCTTTCTATGCCATGATCGTGTTCAATACCAGGTATGATAATTACTTAGTTGTAATCAATTCTTAGATGACAGATTCACTTTAAAAATAGAAAATATTTGATTACTTGTATAAATGATAAGAATTTCAATTTTATTTTAGATGTCAAAGAGCTTTAATGTCCTTTATCAATATCAATAATTGTTTAAAATATTATGTATTGGCTGAAGAGTTGTCAGCTGATATATTAAAAGAGTTTTGTCTGGAGTTTATGAGAAGAAATAAACTACAAATATCTGTAAGTTATAAGCTTTTCTCACCTAATATCTTCCACTTCCAAAACAAATAATGAAGTGGCTTTAAGCGCAGACACAAGTACTACATGTCAAACTGCCGTAGGGATTTAGGATGATATAGTTCACAAAACTTTTAGTAACAACATACAATTTTCAATATTTCTATTGCTCTGTTATTGATTCATTTATTCAGTGAGCACCATTTAAACAGTGATAAAGTCTTGTTGGTATTTTAAGGTTCAGTTTTTATAAAATTAATGTTGCTCTCTTTCAGATAAATTTGGCTTAATTGAAAATCTTTTCATTTCTTCTTATAGATAATTGACAAGAAAACCATGAAGAAAGAGTCAAATGTCATTATTGCCAAAGATACTTTGAAGTATAGACCAATTGTCCCTAAACCTGTCATGCAAGTTGGGTATCAGCTACCAATTCAGATAGAAGAGAAGAAAGTTAGTTTAACACGAATCAAACCTTCTCCAAACAATAAAGGCAAACTGCCTATACCCAAACTTCCCCTGTTGGAAGAGTTAAAGGACGGAGAAAAAGAAGGTTCTCCAAAACCAAAAGATGCTAATTCAGATATTCATGAACAAGTACTTGGTGAAGTTCAGGACCTAGGTCAACTCATGAAAAACATTGCTGCTTTTGACAATGAAGATGAAGCCACCACATATGACAAAAATGGTGACCATTCATACGGTGTAGCAAAGTTGGATGAAGATTATTTTAATGATGAAGAGTTTGATTCTGGTGATGATGATACTGAAAATGATCCTGATTATGATGTAGGTAGGAGGAAGAGTCCCCGAAAGAAGAAGATTGACCCTAATCAAGACCATGATTACTACAATATACCATTCAGTTCACGCAATGAACAGTATGATGGCAGTAAATTTAATTATGATGCTTGCAAGAAAGATATTGAAGATTATAAAGAGTCCCTGAAGATGTTGGTTGATTTTGTTTCTATTGCAATACCCGATGAGGCTGGTGCTAAACCTTATTCTTGTCTGGTCTGTGAGCAGAAATTCTACTTCAAATGTGAGCTTGAGAAACACATGAAGGTTCACTTTGGTAAAGATCCTTTTAAATGTCTTGTGTGTGAAAAGAAAGTTAGCACTATTCATCGTTTGGAATATCATTGTCGTGTTCACACTGGAATTAAACCTTACCAATGTGATCAGTGTGAACGGACATTCAATTATCAATTTCAGTTGAAAAACCATAAACTGGTACATACTGGCCGTCAACAGATGCAGTGTGAAATCTGTGGTAAATACTATACTTGTTTAAAGAGTTTGAAGAGACATCAGTTTTATCATCTGAATGATGAGGACAAACCATATCAATGTGAAACATGTGGTAAAGGCTTTACATGTGCTAATTACTTCAAAATTCATCAGAGAACTCATACTGGAGAAAAACCCTATCAATGTGATACTTGTGGTAAAGCTTTTGCTCATAGCAGTACCTATCATCATCATGTAAAAATACATCAGAAACAGAAAAACTTTGTTTGTGGTGTGTGTGGCCTGGCATTTACCTCTCAATACTATCTTCAGACTCATATGGTAGAACATTCTGGAGAGGAACCTTTACATTGTGATGTTTGTCAACATGCATTTTTCTCTAAGAAAGGTCTCTCATCTCATATGTCTCGTAAACATCCAGAAGAGGTAATGAAGGGAGATCTGATGGAATCCTATGATGGAGAAAAGGAACTGCTGAAATATCTGGAAACTAATGTAGAAAGATTGATAAACCCAGCTGATTTAAAGACCTTCAAGTGTCTGGTTTGTGAAAAGACTTACAAAGACTATTATGATATAAAGATTCATATGATGGCTCATTCTGGTATCAAACCTTACAAATGTGACATGTGTTCAGAATCGTTCTGTAAGAGATCAGTTCTGGCCCTCCATAAAATGAAACATACTGGAGAGAAACCTCATTCCTGTGATGTTTGTGGAGAATCTTATATAACCAAAAATTTGCTGAAGTTACACATGAGTAAACATACTGGAGTTAAACCATATAAATGTAAAGTTTGTCTGGAAGCTTTCTCAAGTTACAGACAATTAGGAAATCATATCAGACGTCATGCAGGTAAGTAGAGAATACCATAAGGTTATATGAAAAATACTATTTATTATATTATTATCCATGTGACTTCTTTATAAGGGTTGATGCGTGAGAGAGGGTAAGTATGGAATGTCATACTATATAACAATTGCTACATAGACATCCAGACTTTTCATTATGAAGTGTTACACTATTGTCAGTGGCAATAAAATTTTCACCAGTGGTTCTCAGTCAATATTGTCTGTTCCCTATTTAGACATAGGGAACTACAAAATGAGATATTAACCTAGTAAAGCCAAGATTATAACCTTTATATATGTATTTTCTATATTATTTCAGTAAACCAAGATTATTTAAAAGATGAATATTTAGCTCTAAATGATGGGAAGGTGACAAGAGAAAGTCTAAAGAATTATGTGGAATCTAAAATAAAGGAACATAATCATGTGTGTGATATATGTGGTAAATCATACCATGAGAGGTTCAGCTTGAAAATTCACATGAGAACACATACCAAGGAGAAACCATATAAATGTGACACCTGTGGTAGAGGTTTTACATCATCAACCAACAGAAGACGACACAAAATGACCCATTCTGGTGAAAAACTGTTTAAATGTCCATTCTGTGAACTCTCTTTTTATGTCAGGGCTGATCTGAACAAACATAAGAAGACTCATAGTTCTGAGAGACCATTTCAATGTGATGAATGTGGTAAAGCCTTTAAGACCAAATCCACTCTCAGAGATCACATTAAATTTCATGTTGGTGCCAAACCATTTGAATGTGATCTATGTGATAAGGCATTTGTCTTGAAGACTTGCTTAACCACCCATAGACGCACTCACACTGGAGAAAAGCCTTTTGGATGTACCCTATGCTTCAGGAAGTTTTCTGATAATCGCTCTAGAAAGAAACATGAAGCTACCCATGGAGCCAACCCTAATAATGCCACCACCATTATGACTGAATCTGTTTATCAATTACCTCCTCAACCTCAACAGAATGTTTCACCTCATCTGATGCCAATTCAACATCATAGATCTTTACCCATGCATCATCCACCTCACTCTATATCACATCAAATGATCCCTTCCTTACCACCATCTATACCACATCCTATTCCTCAACGCATGCAACCTATTCAACACCCTAGAATGCCTGCACATCAACCTAACTCTATATCAATTGATGGAGTAGAAATTAATCAGGCTGTATCATTTATAGAACTGGGAACTTACCATCAATTATAATATGGAATTTGGAATCTTCTTCAACTGATATCAATATATTTCTCTTACTACATGTATGATGCTTTTCATGCTTAATATAGAAGTGTATATTTGATCCAAGTGCTATCACAACAAATAATGCCTAGAAAATATCAGACTGTTCCTTGCTGATGTTTGTGTCATAAACATGTAATTATTTTGCCTATTTGTTCTCAACTTTTTTTCAGTGTTCTTTTAGAAGAGATTATGGAAATTTCAATTGCTTAAATTTGTATTGTAAGATCTCTCTTAATTGTGAAAAATTATTATGTTTGTTTTTCCTTGTTATTTTCAATGAAGCTTGAACAAAAAGTTATACATCCCTATAATTTTACTCTTTTGAAAATATTATTTATTCATAAATTTGAAATTTTTTTATGTCCATAGTGATGTTTTACATACATGATAAACTTTGTTTAAATACAGTGTATTCTTCTTACCACTTATTTTACCTGGATATAATTGGGTGGTGGTTCTAAATTTTATATTGAATTGTATGAAAACCAGACATCAAATTTTTACCTAGAGAAGTGCTATGAATAGTTAAAAATGAGCTCTTTGCCATGTAGTATATCAAATATTATATACATATATAATATAATGTTACTAAATTTTTAAAAGTGGTTTCTACATATCATTTTTAGCATTAAAGGGACAGATGTTCCATTTTAGGGGGTTGATTTGAGACTTGAATATATGTAAGAAATATTAGAAATGTACGAAAATCGCATAATTCCATCAAAAAAATATCTTGAACTAGGAATTTCACTTTCTAAATATCTAAAGAAAAGACAAGTCGTCATTTTAACTTTCAAACGCAGATAATTCTGGACACACATGGATTTGAAGGCTAAAATTTTTACTGTGAGCTGTGCTGTGTACACTATTACTGATTAGCTTTGCTAAAAATAATGTTTCTGAGACTAAGGTATGATTGGTGAAACTGATGGCGAAACTGTCCCTTTAACAGCCAATATAAAAAGGTTATATGGTTCGAATATTTTGACTACTCTAAGAGAGATTGAGGATCCATTTTTGGAATTTTTGTTCATGTGCAATATATTTTGTAGCTAAATAGTGTATATAATATATATATAAATTACATGTATGTAAATATAAAAGGTAGTCTATAAGCTATTTGTTAAGTATTTATGTACTATTTTGAGTTCCGTTATATGAATTAATTTACTCTTATGCATTAGTAGAGGATTCAGAACAAAACATTTAACAGACCACTTCTCTTTTGGGTATTATTCAAATATACAGGCCAGAATGGCCACAGAAAAGGCCATTGTTGTACAGTTTGCTATCTAATTGGATACAGACATTTGGTATGAATGTAAGCCTAACTTTTAATTCCAAGTTTTCCTCCAAGCTTTCAGTCTTACAGCATCACATGAATCATATAAAGATTGTAACATTCACAGCTTTATCTAACATGTAATCATATTACAGAATTTGATGGAGGCACCCATGAAGAGACAGTTTGATTCAATAATCTATTTACAACTTAGTTTTATAAGCAGGACTCATCAGTCAATTCATATAAACAACATTATTGTTTTGCAAGTTTTTTAGGCTCTGAAAATGTCTTTAGATGCAAATTCTTGTTTACGGTTTAGAAAATTAGTTCGGTTTTAAGCCGTTTCCCATACATGGCAGTAAACTATGTTTGATATTTGATCTAGTAACTAGTTCAGGTGCATTATTTCATATGCATCAAAAACTGAAGATGCTCTCACATTTCAAGTGGGAAGATAAAAATAGTTTAGCAACATTGCTTAAATAGCTATTTAATATACCAGTATTTTATTGCTTCCACAAATGTCCATTTTACAGACAATATATCATGATACTAATACAATTAACATGAAATTCAAATACAAAAACTACAACTAAACATGAAGAACAAACAGTTTTTAAACCTTAACATGAGATTCAATTCATAAAAAACAATGAAAAATGTTCTAACTTAATCCATCCAGCCTGTATCATTAGGAGCATGTATCATTAGGAGCCTGTTATCATCTGGCTCCTAATGCAGCATGGATAAGACTAATAACTCTCAAATGTACTACTGATGTTTGAGCATTTGACTATCATACATATGGTCTTTAATACATCTTCTACAAAACAAATTCAGCAAGAAACAAAGCCTCAATCAGTGCCAATATTAGTGATAGTGCTGGGTATTGCAAATCATATCACAATAAGATACAAATCACAATATCAAGCCGTGATACGATGATACATATCGTGATATGGGTTTATAGAGAAAATGAAGCATATTAACCTTAAATTTCAATGATTTTTTAGGGCTGTATACTTTCAGATGCTAACAGAATAATATAACTTTAATTTAATGTTGATAGGTTTGCCAGGTTGACATACACAAATTGAATATTTTATGAATTTGGATGATGTGAAGTTATATATGTAGACATGATTGACTAGTAGGACTATGCCTGGTATCGTCGAGCATCTCAGAATAAGAAAAACAGCTGCAATTGGTGGTCGAAGAAGATGGAGTGTATATTGAACACAGGTTGAAAGTTACCTTGATATTGCATTTTTTGACATTGCTATTTTGTTTGGGGCAGTACTTCTACAAATTTGAAGTATAAAAAAAACAACAACTTCTTTTTCAGTTTTACCTGAAACTGATTAACAGACCAAAATAGCAAACTGCAAACTAATGAGCCATAATTCATACCATGAATTAATAACACTATACATTTGTAAACTTAATACTATGATGTATGAATTTTATATAGATGCATATCAGCAAAACAGTAGTTGACACTTCCTAAAGTTGATGATATGTACCAAGCTGTATAAATGACACAGATTGGTTGATCTCAACACCATCAACAGAGAAAGTGGTAGATTGTGTACTGGGTACATGTACTGGTACTCTGTGATGTATTGGTTGAAGAGTGCGATGATTCATCTGTTGCATTGAAGTTGGAAGTGGTGGAGGACGAATTTCAATGGTTTGTGGACAATGTTCTAATGGTTGAAGTTGTTGAGGAAGAACCTGTTGTTGAAGGGGGTGACAGCGGTTTGTCATTGGAGTTGGTATAACTGTTGGAACAACAGTGGGTACAACATGTATCTGTGGTAACTGGTATGTCTCATTACTGTGAGTACCTTCATGTTTCTTCTTAGATCTATTGTCTGAAAATCTTTTAAAACAGAATCTGCACTCAAATGGTTTCTCTCCAGTATGTGTTCTTTTATGACATGTCAATGCTGTCTTAAGAACAAATGCTTTATCACAAAGCTCACATTTAAATGGTTTATCACCAACATGAAATTTAATGTGATCTCTGAGAGTTCCCTTTGTTTTAAAAGCTTTACCACATGTATCACACTGAAAGGGTCTCTCACCAGAGTGTGTCTTTAAGTGTTTTCGCAGAATTGCATTAGTGTAGAATGCTGCCTCACAAATGTCACATTTAAAATTCTTTACACCACCATGCGATAATTTATGATTTCTACGACTAGCTGGAGAAGTAAATGACTTTCCACAAACATCACATTTATACGGCTTCTCCTTTGTGTGAGTTCTCATGTGGATTTTCAAGTAAAAGTTTCCTCCAAATGACCTTCCACAAATTTCACATACATTCGTATATTTCTGGATTCTGGACTCGATATACTGCTTCAAATATTCTTTGGTTATTTTAGGGTTGCCAGCATTTAGTGCCAGGTACTCTTCCTTCAAATAATCTTGGTTATCTAAAAGAAAAAAAGTCAAAATTACCAACTCTTGATAACTGAAAGGAAATGATAGATTCCTAATTTATCAATAGACATCATTTTATTTCATCTGAGTATCCTCCAAATCATCTAATGAAACTCTGTGACTAAGATGATTAATAAAAAAAGATAATGGATCTTACCTGCATGTGCTCTAATATGTGTCTGTAATCTTCTATAAGTGATGACAGTTTCTTTACATACTTTACATTTATATGAAGTTTTACGTCTAGCCTCAATACCAAGATGTTTATTACCATGTATCTTCAGAAGATAAGGAGTTCTGAACCCTTCTCCACAAACATCACATTGATGTGGTTTCTCATCTCTATGTTTCTTTCTGTGGATACCTAGGTGTGATCTCTTTTCAAATCCATAGCCACATATATCACATTTAAAAGGTTTCAGACCAGAATGGACAGCCATGTGGACTTTGATATCATAAGCAGCATTAAAATACTTCTGGCAAACTTTACATTTGAATGCTTTGGGCTCACCCTCAAATTTCTCCACATGTTCTTCTACATCTTTCAGAATCCGAGCCTCGTCTTCTTCTGATGCATGTTTCCTTTGTAGATGACTTGATAAAGCGCTTTTATTCAAGCAATGATGACCACACAGACTACATGTCAAAAGAGATTCCTCTGTATGTTCAGCTAGATGGACGTGAAGCTTGACCTTTGATGGGAAATGTTCATCACAGTCAGCACAGTAGAAATTCTTCTTAGCTTCATGGATCTTAATGTGTTTATGATATGTACTGCTGTGACCAAAAGCTTTTCCACAAGTTTCACATTGGTATGGTTTCTCTCCTACATGAATGCGACTGTGAATTTTAAAATAATAAGGATCAGCAAATCCCTTGCCACAGATTTCACACTGATGTGGTTTGTCTTTTTCATCTAAATGATGAATCTGATGTCTTTCAAGACTCTTCAAACTGGTATAGTTCTTACCACAAACCTCACACTGGATCTGTGTACGACTATTGTGCAATGGTAGATGCTTCTTGAGGTTGAAAATATTCTTGAATGTTTTCTCACATAAGTCACACTTGTAAGGTCTCTCGCTAACATGAGAGCGTATGTGAACATCCAGTTGAAAGAGAGTGGAACATGTCTCCTCACATACATTACATTGAAAGGGTTTCTCTCCATTATGAACTTTCATGTGTTTTTGCATTTCTACTTTGTTCAGGAAACCTTCCTCACACTTCAAACATTTATATGGACTAAGGCCAGGAAGATTAGGAATTTCTAATGAAACTTGGTCTTTCAATACATCGAGTGCCTCTTTAAACTCTTCAAGATCTCTCCTAGCTGCTTCATAATCATCTTTTTCTTCATCATCATCATCTGGTAAAGACTGTTTCTTCTTCTTTGAAGGGACATGGTCTCTACTAGATTTCCGTCTTGCAGGACTTATTGTTGGTGTTTTCTGAGAAGCTTTCGTATTTTTACCTCTTGGACTATGAGATGTGCGTGGGCTTATACGGAGACTTGTGCGACGTTTAGGTTTCTCTTCTTCTTCACTTTCATAATCTTCATCATCATCTTCATCATCAAACTCTTCCACTGGATCATCTGAAAGTACCTCATCCACTATTTCATCTTTGAGTTTAGTTTTTAAGCGTCGTCCTCTTTTGGAAAATTTCTGCTTTGGTGGTGATTTTTTGGTGGCCTTCATTAGTGTTAGTTCTATATTTTCAGATTTCTGTAAAGATTCATGTGAAACTTCATCAGGAACTTCAGAAATCTCTGGCTCTTGCTTACATATTTCGACTTCTTCTTCAGCATGGATCTTCATATGCTCAGCCAAATCATCAGTGAGTAGAAATTTCTTGTTACAAACTTGACAATCAATTAGATCTGAAGTAGTATTTTCATCTTCTGTAGAAACCATCTGAACATTAACTTTGCTGTCAGCATCAACATCATAATTCAACTGCATAGCTGATTGACTGGGAGCATCATTCATATCTGTTGTGGGATCTAAGAGAAGTTCAGATTTCTTTTCTAAACTTCTTTTATCCACCAGCTGGAACAGAGAAAACAAAGAAACATTTAAAATAACAGACATATTGGTACTTGATTGAAATGAATGGAGTTTTACGTCCTACTTTTCATTAGGCCTTTGTGGGCTTATGAAGACAGGATTTAAAAGATTGCTTGTCAGATTTATGACAAATAGAGTTACATAGAATATCTCTCACTGTTGAAACTTGCATTGAACTGAAAATCAGCCGGAGGTCAATAACTAAAATATGTATATTAGAACTCAACAATATTAAAATTGGGTGTACACATGGAACAAGTTTATATATAAATAATATCAAACTTACAGAGACTTTAATCTGACAATGAGACATTAAATCTTTACAGTGTTGTTTAAGGAGTTCTGCTGGGAATTCTTCTGATAGTTTATAATACTTTAAACAATTAGTAATATCAACATTGGATATCATAATTCTCTGACACCTACAATATAGGTGATATATTTCATTTTTAGTTCAACTAATACCTAAATGAGATAATGAATATAACTAATGCATTGCGCATTTTCTATAGACTATCACACTACAGCCTTTGTACACAATGAACAGTTGCGCTTTTCATGACAAATTGCATCACTGACAAGGAGGTAAACAGATCAAAAATTAAAACTTTCATTCAGACCTATGCCTGCATGGCACCTGAGTCTTCAGAAGTGCAGGTTAGCTAACAAAAATCTCACTTGCCAATCCACATCCTTATTTTGCAGGTCTTGTCATTTTGAAGATTGACGATACAACAAATATTACATCTATGTATTTAAAATCAACTTACTTATTACTGAGAGGAATCAATTTCAATTCAATAGCTGTTTGAAAGAGTGACTTCATGAATTCTTCTGTGTGGTTTGTACTTAATTCATCTTTATAAACCCATGTTAACAAAACCTTCATAATATCAGCATCCTTTTCTATCAATAACAGATTTGAAGAATCAACATTTGAAAATTTTAATTAGATGAGCTTAGTTTTGTCAAAGATTTCAGATTTTATTTCAGAGGTCACCTCTTGTATTTATGTCATACTTTAGGCTTTGCTTGAATTGATGAATTGTCAACATAAAAGAATTATTTAATATATAAAATGTTTTATGAAGAAGAAAGGGGTAGTGGATAGACAAGTATGAAATTAATTGAGGTTTTTTATTTTAAATGTTAACAAATCTTAGTAAATAAAGTTACCTGTAAAATCAAGTTCTTGAATGGAAGCGAAATCTTCAACTTTCCAATATTCACTTCTTGTCGCTAAAATAACTTTATGTCCGTAGAAGATACTGTCATCTTTTAGTCTTATAGTAATATCACTGAAAGACAGTACACATATGAATTATGGCACAACATATGTTATCCTTTGTGCAAGTCAAAAGCAATAAACCTTTTTAATAAAACACTAGTGCCTAAAATATAATATCAATATCTTTATACATGGCAAATAAGATCTGTTGATACTATTCTTTACACAAGTTTTAGAATTAGTTTACTTGAATTTCAGCCTATCATGAAAACAAAATCAAACTCTTTGGAGTTGAGGATTTGGATTTCTAATTAAAACTGCTTTCCCTACTGTTTTATAGCACTGGTTAAACAAGAACATCAGATGAATGCCGATTTAAAATCTTTCTAATCCCTTGAAAATCATTTACCTGTATAATTGATTGTTATACAGTTCAGTAGATTTCTCAAGTAAGAGAGATGATAAGCGTTGGTCATCTTTATTTATTTTCTTCTTCAATGCAACTACTTTTCTTTTAGATTCTTCTATAGCAGTTTTAGTGATTGGTTTCTTCAATGAAATGGATTGGTTTAAGAAAGAATCAGTTGTAGGAACCATCATGTCTAGGAAATCTAATGTGTTCTCCAATTTTTTCAAACAGACTTGGCACATTCCTGCAGAAGCCTCTAATAATCTATCATATTTAATATCATATTCTTTATCATACATGTAGAATAGCCGTTCTAATTTTTCTTGAAGTTTTTCATCAATTGACCGTATACTGTTCAGTCTCACCAATCTACGACCATTGTATGTTGTTTCCAGGCAACTAAAGCAAGCTATTTGAGAAAACGGGACATCATTTATTGAATGAGATTCTAGATCTGCCATTTTAGTAGGTTTTGTTTTGAATACTATTTTCTTTTCTGAAAAACAAATAGTATCTTGTGAGTAAAATCAAACAATAAGATGGCATATAGGAAGCAGCCAAATTAGCTAACCTAATGATGTTTTTTGGTCAATAAAAATATGAGATTTGATAAGATTACATAAACATGGTTCCAGAAATAAGACCATGAAAATGACCCACTTTCAGACTGAAATTTCTATCCTATAAAATCATATCTTGAAATTAAATTGTTTCCGTTGGTCGGTATTTTCATCAATCATATAGAACATTAAACTATTAGTATGGTTTTATGTGCAAAATTTTCATTCAGTTAGAAATGATAATTGGTAAATTGCCATAGGCCTACTTTAAACATTGAGAAAACTTTAAAATTCAAACAACTTTTTGCTTTGCTCAGCTTGTTTGACAATATTTAACGAATCGCTATGATTTTCTTTGCGTCAGATGAAAATACCAACCATTGAAAAAGATTTAATTTTGAAATATTATTTAAAGGAAGATATTTCAGACCAAAATCTCGGAGTCGGTGAGAAATTTCTCGAAGGGAAGTGTGTAATATCATAATTCAAGATTCCTCTCCAAATCTAATTTTCAAAGTTTATGTATTGGCTACTTATAAAACAAGTCTAAAACTATATTGCATTTCTGCTGATACCTATGCCTTAAGACTTGTCTACAATCTGATCAGATATTATCATGACTGTCGTCTTGCAGGTAACGACAGGTTTGAGATTTTCCCTGTTTCAACAATGGTCGAGTATGTTGCGATTGTGTGTAACAAATAAATAGCTTTACAGATCAAAATACTTTCGTATTGCTGGTGTCATTTCCTGCATAATACTCATATTTCAAAACTTACATGATTAAGCAGACAATATACAGAAAGAGACTTCAGATAATCGATTAAATATGCTGAATTTCTTGTAAATTTATGTCATTATCGACGGCCATAATGCGTACGCGAAAGTCACGTGATCTGCTAAGCTGACATTGAAGTTATTTTTTTCGTATACACCTTATTCGAACCGCAATTAGTCCGATAAATAAACCCACAGTGACGCAAAATCTCTCCCTTTCCTTTCTTTAACATTATTTGCTCTGTCTATTAGACCATGAAACTCCAAGAATTTTCCAGGCTTACTTGTTTATATCCCGAAAGATTTAAAGATGGGTTCCCTTATTTTCATTTATGAAAATGCTAATATTTATATGAATAGAAAGTAGAGGTGTTCTAATGACTTGGAGAAATATCAGTTTGTCTCACATGTCCATAATTAATTCATAATTAGCTTAATTAGAAGAGAATTACAAGCAGAATTCCCATGATTGGCCGATCGAGAAAGGTCAAAAACAAAAAACCTTTTTTTGTTTATCCAGACTGTACATACGTGGGCATTTATGATTGGTTAAAACTCTTAATTATATGCAATAAGGACATAATGATATGGTTAAGAATGAATGAGGATTCATTAGACACACCAATTAATCAAATAGTTCGCTTATTTTAACACTGACAATTAAGGAAACCCATCTTTAAAAGATCTAATGTGTGTGATATTCGACTACTTCGAAATTTGGAGGGTGGGAGGTCACTGTAAGCCACTCTGCATAGCATATTTATTGATTTAGCCTACAATAAGTTAGCGGTTACTCGGTGTTATCCCCTAATCTCATCTCCAATATTATGTTCAGATTATCGTTTTATCTTAATCGTTATGGGCAAATAAACATGAAATGGGATCTGGATTTCTAATGATGATGTAACGGAAAATGTTATCAACTTAAAGGATAACACCTCGGGGTTATGATAAAACAAAAACCTAGTAAGAGTCAAGTTAAAATGCAGTATATAGGGCATATAGCACCTCCCCTTCACTGTTTTTATGCAGACGGATTTGATGAGCAAGCAATTTTTGCTATCATGTAAGTACTTATATTTCGGCACTATGCGAATTACTTAATGTAGGCTTATTGTCAAGGTGTTCACTATGGAAAAGGGAAAGGAGCTCCAAAACATTAATCAACTCTTAGTAAATTAAGAAAAAGAGATCCCGGTAACCATTGCTATAATGAGGTAAGAAAGTATTATTGTTCCCTTTTCAGAACTGTATAAATGTTAAAACAGCAAAAGATGCACTGGTTGCTGATTTTCACTGTTCTCTTACAACATTCAGCTGATCCAGTTGTAGCTCAAGGTAATAGCATTCATTCTTCTACCATCCGTTTGGCTATAGAATGTCATTTACTGTAATGGCGTGTTGTTCTGATCTTGCTCGAGCACAGCGTAAAAAATCGAGAAGGTGTAAAAAGCAACAATGTTGGTAGTAACTTCCAGATAGTTCTAGATCCTCATCACACATTATAATATATTCTTGTGATCTCCTACACCCAGTCTAAAAATCCAACCATCATATTATAATGAGCAAATAAGATAAATATTTCACTACACTGGTCATTTGGAATATTCTCTAATATTTTTTTCAGATTGTAATAATAATGGTTATACCGGTGATGTTATATTACTATTTGATGATTCGGAGAGTACACTATTCGTAGTTAATGATACTAAAGTGTATGCACCACCATTAGTGGCCTTTCTTAAACAGGCTATCAGTATTTTCACTTCTTTTGGTCACCATGTTGCTCTGGTGTCTTTCAGTTCAACAAGTTCTGTTGTCAATTCTTTCACAAATGATGAAGCACAACTGACAACATCCATAGATAACTTTCAACCTTCTTATAAGGGTTCAAATTTAAACATAGGTAAGCTAAAACATTATACTTTCATGTGCATTGTTCATTTTAATGAACATAAGTTTCTTAGGTATTTCAACCTGGCTTCCATCTGTATCAGTAATGCAGGTCAGTTTGGCTGCCGTAGCAAAAGTGTCTAGTTGTTTGTTAATGTAGTAAACCGAGTGAGGGATTGCACAGTAGTGTAGGCTATACGTCTAAGATCCCTCGTGCAATCCTCATTGCATACTACATGGCGTTGCCAGTCTTCACCTTCTTAGAAAAAATTGACGAGAAATTTTCCGTAATTTCATTTAATTGGTGATGTCATAACATTAGCAGATAGAAATTTTTTAAAACAGCAACGATACCCGGTCGTCTTGCTGAAAGTGATTTTCAACACAATTCTGAACCACCGAAATATACCACTGCCACCTTTAACTAACATAGAAGGCAACAACAAAAGAAAATTGAATTCTGTCAACTGTTCGATATGATATTTTAAAATTACTAATTATTATTATATTGAAATACTAAACCAACTGATCACGATTTTACAGGTGTGAATGTCAGCAGCGAACTTTTTAATACGGACGGTAGAAGTGGTTTGCCAAAATTATTGACGATAATAACAGATGGAATTTCGACAGAACCCCAGCTTACCTTGCAAGAAATAAGCAAATTGAAGCAGAACGGAATTCCGGTGCTGGCATTGCCTTTTCTCCTATCAGAAACAACAGAATTATCAAATTTAGTGTCGGACTCAACTCAAGATATATTTCCATTGGATGGAGCAAATTTAGATTTATCAAATAATCTTTGTTCAAGTAAGTCAGGATTTTAGTAAAGTTCGTCAAGTTTTTAATAACCTACAAAAAAGTAAAACTGATATCGAATCTAACCAGTTCGCAATATTTCACATATTTTCATTGTATTTGACGTTGTAATAACTATTTAAAGTCTTTATTGCGGACTTCATAGATGGTTTGGACATTGAGGAATCTTTACTTATTGTTAAAATTCAACCCTCCTTCGCGCTCTGCAAATAGGATTCATTGACAACTTATTAAAGCGAGACTGATATAACGAGGACCTAATTGCTTTGATTTGACTGTGAAATTAAATCAAAGCAAACCGACCATTAGCAGTTTAGCGATCAGGAAAGAGACACTTCAGGACGTACTGAAAACTGGCCATTATATCACAAAAACCACTGAAAATGTTCGAATATTTTCGACCTTTATGCATGCGAGACACCAGAATATATCTTGACTCTTATCTAAGGTGAATACAGGGCTGGAAGTGTGATAGTAGCATAAACTGAATTTTAAAATAATAAATAATTTTACCATGACTTTACATTTACTGATAAATAAGAATTGGTATTTTTAGGAACACAAACATATATCGCTAACATCGCACTTAGTAATGGAATATCGCCAACTTTCAGTCAATCAACATCTCCTGCTACCAGTCCAGTAACATCACCAAGTACCAGTCCAACAACATCACCTACTACCAGTCCAACAACATCACCTACTGCCAGCCCAACAACGTCTCCCACTACCAGCCCAAAAGCATCCCCTAATACAAGTCCTATAACATCACCTACAACAAGTCAAATAACATCTCCTACTACCAGTCCTACTACATCTCCTAATACTAGTCCTACAACATCCCCTACTACCAGTCCATCGACATCTCCTGCTACCAGTCCGACAACATCACCTACTACCAGCCCAAGTACATCTCCTGCTACAAGCCCAACAACATCCCCTAATACCAGTCCATCAACATCTCCTACAACCAGTCCATTAATTTCCCCAACTACCAGTCCTAAAACATCCCATAATACCAGTCCAACCACTTCCCCTAATACAAGTCCAATAACATCTCCTACTACCAGTCCGACAATATCACCTACTACCAGCCCAAATACATCTCCTTCCACAAGCCCAACAACATCCCCTTA